CAAATATTCAATGTGGTTTTAGGAAAAATCATAGCACCATTGATCATTTGGTACGACTAGAATCCTTTATTTAAAATACAATAGTAAATATACAACATGCGGTATCAATATTCTTTGATCTTGAGAAAACGTACGATACCACCTGGAAGCATGGCATTTTATAGGATTTCCATGATTTTGGTTTGAGGGGTCGTTTACCTCTTTTTATTTCACAGTTTTTAACAGATAGGCAATTTCAAGTCCGAGTGGGTTTAACCCTCTCTGACCATTATAATCAGGATCAGGGAGTCCCACAAGGCAGTATTGTGTCTGTCACATGGTTTAGTATTACGATAAACAGTTTATCCGAGGTTTTAACCGATTCAATTGATGGATCACTTTTTGTGGAAGATTTTAATATTTCTTGTCGTGGTAAAAATATGCATACTTTTGAACGGCAACTGCACTTATGTCTAATCAAAATGACCCGTGAAGGTCCGGGTGAGAATGAACCTTCAGTAACCCATGCTTGTCGTAAGAGGCGTCTAACGGGATCGTGTGGTCAGGCTAGCTGACTTCGCTGACACATGTCATCGGTTGCCAATTGCGCAGATCAATGCTCATGCTGTTGATCACTGGATTGTCTGGTCCAGACTCGATTATTTACAGACCGCCGCAATATAGCTGGAATATTGCTGAGTGCGGCGTAAAACTAAACTCACTCAAAACAAAATAAATAAATGGTGTCTTGAAAATGGCTTTAAATTTTCTGTCAAAAACTAATTGTCTACACTTCTGTAGAAAATGTAAACCGCATAAGGACCCAGAACTATATTCAAATGGCACGCCCATCAGAGATGTCAAGGAGGCCAAGTTCTTGGGTTTTATTTTCGATTGCAATCTACCATTCCTGCCACATATTAAATCCCTTAAAGCTAAATGCCTGAAGGCACTTGATTTGTTAAAGGTTGTTTCCAATTCAAAGTGGGGAGGGGACCAAACTACTCTCCTTCACCTATATAGATCATTGGTGTGATCTAAACTTGATTATGGCTCCATCGTCTATGGTGGAGCCTGCAAAAGTAACCTAAAACTACTTGATTCTGTCCACCACCAAGGCCTAAGACTTTGTCTTGGGTCTTTTAGAACTTCCCCGGTTGACAGTCTCTATGTCGAGGCAGATGAGCCTTCATTTAAACTTATCTTTACAATATCTTACAAAACTATAATCTAACAAGTCTAACGCTGCATTTAACTGTGTCTTTAATCCTCTTTATGAGGATTTGTACAATAAAGTCTCTTGTTCCGCCATTGGGGTTAACAATGAAACCATTCATTTCTGCTGCTGGCATTGAGCCGGAAAAGCTCCCTCCCGTGTTCTTTCTTCTCCTCCTTGGCAATTAGTGAGGCAAGAGGTTGACCTAACACTGACAAAGTATAAGAAATTAGAAACTAATGAATTACAATATCAACAAGAATATAAGCAATTAAAAAATAAATATAATACATACAAGTCCTTATTTACAGATGGATCCAAGGATGGTGGCGCAGTGGCTTGTGCCACTGTCGTTGGATCCAGAACAATATCCTCAATATTCACAGCAGACGCAAATGCAATACTAACAGCTCTTAAATATATTAATAGACATCCTAAATGTAAACACTATATCATGTTTTCTTATTCTCTTTCTTGCCTTCAGGCTATTAAACATCTTTCTTGTAAACATCCACTTTTAACTGAGATTATTGAACTATATAATGATCTTGCACTGGCCAATATGACATCGGCCTCTGTTGGTTACCCAGCCACGTTGGCATTTCTGGGAACATAATGACTGATCTTGCTGCTAAGGCAGCACTCAACAAATCTGTGACACCACTTCTTATTCCATACTCGGATTACAAAGCTAGCATTAGAACATACATCCGTGATCTGATGCAGAAATGGGACACCCAAGAGGGTATAAATATATTACATACAATACAACCTTTACATTGGTTACACCTACTTGGGTTGTCAGTCCAGATTTGAAGAGGTCGTCATGAGACGATGTCGTATTGGCCTCACATGGTATACTCATGCATACCTGGTGAAAGGTGAGGATCCTCCGTTTTGTATCCCTTGTGATGAAAGAATCACGGTCAAGCATGTCGTGCTTGACTGTATTGATTTTTCCATCACAAGGGATAAATATTTCAGTGTTAAAACTGTCAAGGATCTTTTAATAATGTTAATTATCACTTTATTACAGATCCCGGATCCATCACCTTGCCAGCTGCTAACAGATTATGTTTGACTGATGTTTCATTTCATTTTTGTTAAAACTTTGCTGATAGTTTGTTTGTTAGCTAACAACACCCAACGCTGATCACTTTATCTGCGATATGGTCGCGGTGTGAACATTATTGAGTATCAATCGATTGGGATACGTCTGTTGTGACCTTAAAGCTAGAATGGTCTTAAGAGTAGAGCAATCATGAATAGTTGCTGTACTGGACTTATGGCATACTTTTAACAAAGAGGAACATTTACTGTTCTAATACACCATTCCCATTATTCATTTTCCAAGACAGAACAGCTATGGTAACCATGATGAGAATATAGTTCCCTGATATTCTAATGCCACCATTGCTTACACAAATTACTATCGAACTATTAAAACGCGCGAGTTGGGGAATCAGCTCGCTTGGCAAGAGGTCTGACCATACCAACCCACACACAACACAATACAACACAACACCTGAGTAAATAAACAAGGAGTTTATTACACACCAGTCACAGGGTGATATTACATAATCAATTAATAATAGTATGGTTTATAATTAATTATTAGAACATATTAACAACGCAATCAGCTATTAAAGTAAATTATGTTGTCATGTAGATTCGTTTCACATTAATCAAAAAGTAATACAATAGTTCAATATCTCCATATCAACCCAGTGGGCGTTCATGCAGCAACGAACAGCATAGTGCTCATAACGCAATGTAATTTAGTTGGACCGAAGCATCGATGGCCAGTCGCAAGTATGCCACTTGGTATATGTGGCACGCACCTGATTTGACCAACGTGGAATACAAACAGCCATAAATGCCATATGGTATATGTGGCACGCACCTGATTTGACCAACGTGAAATGCAAACAGCCGTAAATGCCATATGGTATATGTGGCACGCACCTGATTTGACCAACGTGGAATACAAACAGCCGTAAAGACAGACAAGGGTATTGCACCTTGGATCTATAAGCTTTAGAGATACTGGTCCCGGATTATGTCCGATGCTCGTTATCAATGTGACCCTTTACAGGTTTATTGAGGAACGTGGTCAGTTTATCTGTAATATGCCCGGTTTTCAATAACACTAACCGTTATAAAATATTGGTAAAACTTTGTCAAATTTGTCCATGTTAATACATGTAACGTGTATATTAATACAGTGCATTCATATCTCACTCTAGTGGATGTTCATACAGTGAGGTCATATCTCACCATGCAAGGTGCATATTAATACAGTGAGGTTATATCTCACCAAGCAATGTACATATTAATACAGTGAGGTTATATCTCACCATGCAATGTACATATTAATACAGTGAGGTCATATCTCACCATGCAATGTACATGTTAATACAGTGAGGTCATATCTCACCATGCAATGTACATATTAATACAGTGAGGTCATATCTCACCATGCAATGTACATATTAATACAGTGAGGTCATATCTCACCATGCAATGTACATATTAATACAGTGAGGTCATACCTCACCATGCACTCATGCAATGTACATGTTAATACAGTGAGGTCATATCTCACCATGCAATGTACATATTAATCCAGTGCGTGATACCTCATATCTCACCATGCAATGTACATGTTAATCCAGTGAGGTCATATCTCACCATGCAATGTACATGTTAATACAGTGATGTCATATCTCACCATGCAATGTACATGTTAATCCAGTGAGGTCATATCTCACCATGCAATGTACATATTAATACAGTGAGGTCATATCTCACCATGCAATATACATGTTAATACAGTGAGGTCATATCTCACCATGCAATGTACATATTAATACAGTGAGGTCATATCTCACCATGCAATGTACATATTAATACAGTGAGGTCATATCTCACCATGCAATATACATGTTAATACAGTGAGGTCATATCTCACCATGCAATGTACATATTAATACAGTGAGGTCATATCTCACCATGCAATCATGCAATGTACATATTAATACAGTGAGGTCATATCTCACCATGCAATGTACATATTAATACAGTGAGGTCATATCTCACCATGCAATGTACATATTAATACAGTGAGGTCATATCTCACCATGCAATGTACATGTTAATCCAGTGAGGTCATATCTCACCATGCAATGTACATATTAATACAGTGAGGTCATATCTCACCATGCAATATACATATTAATACAGTGAGGTCATATCTCACCATGCAGTGTACATGTTAATACAGTGAGGTCATATCTCACCATGCAATGTACATATTAATACAGTACATATCTCACCATAATACAGTGAGGTCATATCTCACCATGCAATGTACATATTAATACAGTGAGGTCATATCTCACCATGCAATGTACATATTAATACAGTGAGGTCATATCTCACCATGCAATGTACATGTTAATACAGTGAGGTCATATCTCACCATGCAATGTACATATTAATACAGTGAGGTCATATCTCACCATGCAATGTACATATTAATACAGTGAGGTCATATCTCACCATGCAATGTACATATTAATACAGTGAGGTCATATCTCACCCATGCAAATGTATTCAGAGAATCATCATTTTCTAAATACGTGTAAATATTTTGATTTCTAAAGTTTGAACGAGAGTGCAATTTGACGGGCGAAGCGTGGGCGTACTTTGCCCTCTCTCTGTGATGCATTTACCTCGGTATTGCACTCCTGCTGTCTCGCTGTATCGCTAGCCTTACTTTCACCAGAGACCATATTATATGGTCTCTGCTTTCACGCGCCCCTTTACGATCCTTAGTGAGCTAACACCTGTTTACTGGTACACTTCTTTAACACAACACTACAGGGAGAAAATCCGGATGGAAATAAGGGGGTCGTTGAATATTCATGTAAAATAGTTCATCTGAAACGCCCCACCAAGCATGTTACTAGGCGGCCTAACCTTTGCATGACCTTGGTGTAGCGAGAAGCAATGGCGGCGTCGGCTATCCCAATTGTTGACTTCCAGAAGTACGGACTGAATGTTGCAGACACAACGTCCGTGACGGATGACGTTCTGGAGACGACGGCCAAAGAGATATATGATGCCTTCAGTACAATAGGCTTCCTGTACCTGACAAACCATGGGATTGAGCAGAGAAAGGTAAACAAGGTGTCCTGTTTGTATATAGGTCAGGGACAATTCAGCTGGGAGGTGTTAGTCATTCTTAGTCACCCAAACTGATACAGTAGTTGTACTTTCGTCGTTGGTGGCGTCAGCCGTCACTCAGGAATGAATCGTACGAAAACATATTTGATTTTAATGAGATTGGTCATTTGTGCTTTTTTCCTGCTGCCTTCGACCATGTACTGATTATAAGCGGTGTTTGTCATGACATGTGAAGGTTCTAGTCTCTCGTACAGACCCTGAAGCAAATATATCCAAGAAAGCCCACACAAGTCTAGAAAACGTGGCAAGTCTAGATTTCCTGAAGAAAGTCTCTGGGCTTCTTTTCATTATATATTTTTTTTATTTACTATGAACTTTTTTCAGTAAAATATGTTCATTTCAGAGACTATATGTTAGTCTAGTGAAGGTTCAAGAGAGACAAGTTCACAATTCCAGTGAAGACTTTTGAGACTAATTTATTGGAACTATCAGTTATATCAGTATCGTTTTCAATTTTCAGTTTGATTTGTTTATAACGTTCATTGAATGAAAACAAAGCTTCAGATTGTACGGATTTGGAGGTTCATAGACAGGTGGGATACTGTCTGGATGGCAGCTTATCACAGTTGACTTTTGTAGTAGGGCCTTTCTTGACCTTGCCCTAGATGGTGGGGTCGTGGAGGATCTTGGATGTGGAATTCTGATGTGTTCAGGATGACTGTGACCTTGCCCTTGTCGGCTGTGTGTGTGTGTGTGTGTGTGTGTGTGTGTGTGATGATGATGATGATTTTAAGGGGGGTCACCCATTTTGTACTGGGGAGGTAGGGGAGTCAGCAATTTTGTACATATGATTCTAGGGGGGTCAGCAATTTTGTACATAAAATTATTTTAAAATTATGCTTTAAAAATATGGAAAGGGAAGGGGGGTCATTGACTTTGTACATTACATGCAGATGGGGGGCACTTACTTTGTACATAAATTTGAGGGGGGTGTCATTCACATTGTACATGCTTCGCCACAAAAATCATCATCACAACACACACACACACACACACACACACACACACACACACACACAGCCATAAATTATGAACAGTCCCTTAGCTTATGATGAATTTCGGGGACTTCACTCCTGCAACAGAAACATCCACTCAGTTGAATTAGATACAGAGCCACAGTGCAAACGAATACCCAGTCCTGACTCTCCTCAGAAACCAATTACGGTAGATGTAAAGGAAGAAAATAGCTCTGAAAATTATATGAATGAGTCACGTTTTACAATCAGTGATGACACAAGGTGTCTGAGAAAAGGCTAACCGTGTCCTGTGATATCGTTACCAGCCGCCAAAGAGTTGCTTTATTCAAGGTATTATCTACAACGTTGAATAAAATGATTATAGCTTTAACTACACTGCTTGTGACCACTGGAGCATTTAATCGTCGTATCGTTATACCATATCTATGACATGTTCAGAGTATCACCGGGTAAGCTATACATAGATCTTGTATGTTATTCAAGGTCGATGAATGTCCTATTGTTACTCCAGGTCGATGTAGACAGACAGACAGACCTTGAGTCTCACCTCAACCTCAACATCACACCTGTGTACATAGAACAAAATAAATAAAACGTTGAGATAATCTTAACAGCCTTACGAGAAACTACATAACCTTTAAAAGCCATAAGAATATAGGATATAAAACATATGTTTACAGTACTAAGTATAAAAGGACATGCAGTAAAACATGACATTCATCTTCAATAAAATCTTTACAGTAAAACATGTTCGTTCCTTTAGAGGAGTACAATCATATAGTCCAGATTGAGCTACTGATATTCCATGTCGATGATTGAGCTACTGATATTCCATGCCGATGAATGTGCTATTGTTATTCCAGGTCGATGCTATGTTCAGAGTGTCCAAGTCCTTCTTTGATCACCCTGTGGAAGAGAAGATGAAGTGTGTTCTGGACCACCGTTATGGTTACCATGGCTATGTTGCCCTGGACAGCGAATCGTGAGTTACCTGAGTAGTAGCTGTGTTTCTGATTAACCTGGCCAATACGGTATTATTTCACCTATATGTAAGTAGATATTGTGTATTAATTTGAAATGTTTCTACATCCAACAATTATTCGGAAAAAAATTAAAACAAAAAATGCCGTTTTCTAGAAAGTCTCTCGCTTCTAAATTTCCTTAGGCTCTACCACACAGTCTACTCAGCCATTAAGCCATCGTCCCACTTTCAAGTTATTGATGTCACCCACCGTGATACTGCTTGGCATTGACCTGTACCCAACAAATATGTGCATATAGTTTTGTCCCATTCTTGACGTGGACACCAGTCAAACGTGCTAGAAGTATGTATAGTTAATTTGTTGCCCATCCTCCAATCATGAGTCACGTCTTGATGGCAAGACTTGACACCATGAGATGTATGAGGCATCCAGAGTTCACTTCGGTTCATTAAGAATATGCATATAAATCTTTATGCTGAATGTGTCTTGCTCAAAATGGAAGTGAAGCCTAAGGAATCCACATCTTAGTCTTAAACCACGGTTATGCTAAACGACTCTGAGATGATCAGTGGATTAATAGTGTTAGAAGTATCTTGGAAATGTATTACAGTAGTGGGCAGATCATCAAGAACCCAAGAACACAACCAATTGGTACAATCGGCATATGACACGAGATCAGCAGGTAACTTAAGATATGGAAACATTATTTCAACGTGATTATTAGTAGTAGATGGCAACAAGACACTTGAAACAGTACGTGGATTTCTGCGTGGTGAGCGGTCGCCCCATGTCTGGTTATATGTCCAAAACGGATTTGGTGAGTGTGTGAGTGAATATTCAAGTGATATATCGGCGTGTCAGCTTCATCATGTTAATGAGTGAGTGAAGTTAGTCAGACGCCGCTTTTACCAATATTTCATGATCAGCAATATCATGGGGAAGAAAGAAGCCGAGAAATGGGCTTCACACATTGTACCTATGTGGAAAATCAAACCCTGGTCTTCGACGTGACGAGCAAACGCTTCACTTAGCTACCCCAACGCCCCGATCGTGTTAATCAATGAAAAGATGAAGGTAAAACCAATCATCAAGGGCGGACCGGGGTTCGATCCCACGAAAACGGTATTTAATCTTCTATTTTCTTTATCCTAGGTTGGGATCGGTTGCGGATTTCAAGGAAACATTCAACTTTACACCAAAGGATGATGGGGTACTTTCACTGTTAATTCTAAGGTGGCTATATACGATCGGCGGGTCCTGGTTCGGCGGACTGCGTATAGTCGTACTCCGGTGGTTTGGATATTTGCTCATGCTCTCAGTCACTAGTTTCAGTCATTTACTTACTTGCTCTGGGCTATAGTGGAAGCCACGCTGAGCGAGTTAAGCGTCTGACTTTGTGTGCTGGGGATTAGGTGCCTGACTCTGAGAGTGTAGGTTCGAATCCCGAATGGGATTCAACTCATCAAACAATAATAGAATTTGTACATTACTAAGAAAGTGTAATGTTCCTTAATATAACATATGCTACTGTGCTATAGGTGCCACACCTCCGACTGTTCCTTGACGTAAAACAACTCACTAATTTAGCATCGGGATTCTGTCCAACTGTCATGTGTTAGGTGTTAGCTGATGTCATTACAACCATTTGTTGTCTTTTTTTCCGGAAAACACGCCTTATTTCATTACTAATTCATGAAACAAAAAATATGCTTCCTTAAATCCTTTATACTAGCGCCTTTGGGTGAGCGTCGGCATGTTCGTGAAGTATTTCACAACAACGCTTGTTTATATCTTTTCTGTCCAGTTTCCTAGTAACAACAGTATGATTTTGGTCTCACACAGGCGTGGCCCGCGGATCTTCCCGAATTTAAATCATCTTTCTTCTCATTCTTCGACGACTGCATACGACTAACAGAGAGAGTCCTCGATGTCCTGTCTATCGGTCTTAAACTCAAGGTATGATATCAATAGCATATAGATTCATGTCCTGTCTATTGGTCTTAAACTCCAGGAATGGTATCCATAGTATATAGATTCATGTCCTGTCTATCGGTCTTAAACTCCAGGTATGATATCCATAGTATATAGATTCATGTCCTGTCTATCGGTCTTAAACTCCAGGTATGGTATCCATAGTATATAGATTCATAAACTCCTGTCCTATCTATAAACGGTCTTAAACTGTCCAGTCTATCGGTATGGCATGGTATCCATAGTATATAGATTCATGTCCTGTCTATCGGTCTTAAACTCCAGGTATGGATATCCATAGTATATAGATTCATGTCCTGTCTATCGGTCTTAAACTTCCATAGCAGGTATGGTATCCATAGTATATCATGTCCTAGTATATATGATCCATCATGTCCTGTCTATCGGTCTTAAACTCCAGGTATGGTATCCATAGTATATAGATTCATGTCCTGTCTATCGGTCTTAAACTCCAGGTATGGTATCCATAGTATATAGATTCATGTCCTGTCTATCGGTCTTAAACTCCAGGTATGGTATCCATAGTATATAGATTCATGTCCTGTCTATCGGTCTTAAACTCCAGGTATGATATCCATAGTATATAGATTCATGTCCTGTCTATCGGTCTTAAACTCCAGGTATGGTATCCATAGCAAATAGATTCATGTCCTGTCTATCGGTCTTAAACTCCAGGTATGGTATCCATAGTATATAGATTCATGTCCTGTCTATCGGTCTTAAACTCCAGGTATGATATCCATAGTATATAGATTCATGTCCTGTCTATCGGTCTTAAACTCCAGGTATGATATCCATAGTATATAGATTCATGTCCTGTCTATCGGTCTTAAACTCCAGGTATGGTATCCATAGTATATAGATTCATGTCCTGTCTATCGGTCTTAAACTCCAGGTATGGTATCCATAGTATATAGATTCATGTCCTGTCTATCGGTCTTAAACTCCAGGTATGATATCCATAGTATATAGATTCATGTCCTGTCTATCGGTCTTAAACTCCAGGTATGATATCCATAGTATATAGATTCATGTCCTGTCTATCGGTCTTAAACTCCAGGTATGGTATCCATAGTATATAGATTCATGTCCTGTCTATCGGTCTTAAACTCCAGGTATGATATCCATAGTATATAGATTCATGTCCTGTCTATCGGTCTTAAACTAGTATATAGATTCAGGTATGGTATCCATAGTATATAGATTCATGTCCTGTCTATCGGTCTTAAACTCCAGGTATGATATCCATAGTATATAGATTCATGTCCTGTCTATCGGTCTTAAACTCCAGGTATGGTATCCATAGTATATAGATTCATGTCCTGTCTATCGGTCTTAAACTCCAGGTATGATATCCATAGTATATAGATTCATGTCCTGTCTATCATGTCTTAACCTCTATCGGTCTCAAACAGGTATGATATTCATAGTATATAGATTCATGTCCTGTCTATCTTATGTCATAGTCTACTGAATATATATATATATACCTTTGATGTAAACAAAGAACTCCATTTAATTTGGAAAGGAGCTCCAGTGAGTTCCCGAGCCTGAGGAAATCTAGACGTGCTTCATTTAGGGCGTTGGCATTGCACAAAGGGTTCGGCGGAAGAGAAAATAATGTGGTTCAGAGAGGGTGAGACAGACTAGCGTGTGGCCTAGAGATGTGGAGCCATGATCAACCACCGTTTGATCGAGAGTCGTATAACGTCTGTCTGAGCGTCCCCCAAAGCTGTACCCGTGAAGATATGGATTCGAATTGACCTATAGAAACCCATGCTTGTCGTAGAAGGCGACACCGACATGTCATCGTATCCCAAATGCACAGATAGATGCTCATGCTGTTGATCACTGGATCATCTGGTCCTGACTTGATAACAGACAGACCGCCGAGTGCGGCGTTAAACAACAACCAAATCTGTGAATATACCGAAAGGACTACTGGTGCACTGACTGGTGAAATTTGACTACCTAAATCTTAGAATATTCTGAAAAGACCGTTACAGTCCACATGAAGTGAATTTTGTCTATCTAAATGCTGAAGTTATCTGCTACACATGTACACTACATATGATGCAAACGGATATGTATACTTCGAGATAATATATATTTAGATTCCTGTGATGCTTGTGACTGTGTCTGAGGTTGTCGAGTTCTCGTGTTTAAGGATCGCAATTTCCTCCGCGATTGCCACCGTCAGATGGGCAGGAAGGGGAACAGCACCACTCTCAGAAGCAACTACTACCCTCCTCTTACTGGACGTAAGCTTCCATCATTATTTCATATTGATTTGGGATGTTTTGGAGAATTGTCATGGTTGTGGTCATGCTTAATCATGGTTTCCTGTATCCATTCTATAATTGTACCGCTGGATGAATGAATTCCGTCCAATATTTTCAATATAATTACCAATGAATGAATGAATGAATGAATGAAAGAATGGATGAATGAATGAATGAATGAATGAATGAAGGAATGATGCATGGGTAGATATGCTTGTGATATTTTAATATGATACGAAACATTATTGCTTCGAAATGACTTTTCAAAAAGTAAATGTATTATTTTGTTGTGGATTACAGATATAGACAAAACCGTAATTGTAATTTCAAATGGACAGTTATCTCTAAAGAGCATGTTATTATTCTTGTAAACTACAAAGACTTTCCAATTCTGCATCTACAGCCGTGAAACCAGGTCAAGTTCGTTGTGGAGAACACTCCGATTATGGGACAGTAACACTGTTGTTCCAAGACGACATTGGAGGCTTAGAGGTAAGGATTTCTGTGGGTTTCAAAAAGAGACATTTAAACGATAACATGCCAGAACCGAAAAAGGATATAGTTATGTCTTCAACCATTTCGAAAATAATACGTCCATACATTCTGCAATGTATATTAATTACAGTTCACAGTCCCTTAACGCGGTCGAAGATGACATGGAAATTCATCCTGTAACCTCACGTTGTGTTTTCAAATAGGATCGGTTCAGTTATAGTTGAATCAGAACCAACATTACCATGTCAATCCAGCTGAGAGACACATCACATAAATCACATGGTAAACAATGTTTCCACTATTATAAGAAGGAAGGCTTTGACTAGATGGTGTTTTTGAACATCGTCACACGGCTGTATGTGTGTATGTGTGCGTGTGGGTGTCTGACGTAGTCTATATACGAGGGGATATCAAAAAGTTCTAATTATCACCAAGACTTATTCAGGGTACAAACTTTATTTTGCTTTCTTGTCCTTATGATTTCTCTACATAGTCACCATCCCGAGTTACACATTTCTGCCACCGTTTCTTGACCTTGCGCAGACCGGCTGAATAGAGGTACCCTGATTTCATGCACCTTGGCCTTTTTCGGAGGTGGTGACGTGGCATGTTTCCACTCTTTACTCATCTCTCTTGTATCAGGATCATACAAATAGACCCAACATTCGTCCATGGTTACAAGACATCTGAAGATATCCTCTTCACCCTGCTACAGAAACTCCAATTCCTGTCGTGATATGTCCCGTCGAATCTGTCTTTGAAGATGAGTCAGTAAGCGAGGAACCCAGCGTGCTGACACTTTGGACATGTGCAGTTGGTTATGAATGATGTTCCATGCTCTGCCATAACTCAAGTTGGTCTCATGCATAACCATTTGTATTGTTACACGGCGATCTTCCTGAACCAGCGCCTCGACTCTGTTCACGGTGTCCAAATTATCAGTAAATGAGGGGCGACCACTTCTTGGCTCATCTGTGAGGGACATGTGACCAGTTTGGAAATTCCTTTTCGATGTCACAACCGTGTCATAGGATGGGTTATCATCACCATAAACAGATTTCATCTCATCGTGAATTTGTCGTGCAGTGCAGCCCATCAAGTGCAAGAACTTAATTACTCTGCGCGCCTCAATATTCTCCATACTTGGGGGTACTGGTGTGTATGATCAACTAGCACAAGACTGAATATAGGAAGTAGATAGTACTTGGTCCATTAACTAGATAAGGATCACTAGATAAGGATCACTGATGTCAAAATTTTATCCTGATTGCGCAATAACTTCTTGGGGATAATTAGAACTTTTTGATACCCCCTCGTATGTAGTACGTGTATTTGGCGATGAACACTGATTCAGCCCATGCGTTTATAATGAATACAATTGACAAAACATGTCCATGTCCTCTATTTTCAGAGAGGTGATGTTTTACTTTCGGTGAGGCGAGGTGAAATTGGATTTAACGTCGTACTTGAGAATATTTCGCTCATATGACGACGTGCATGCGTGTGTATGTGTATGTGCGTCTGCTTGCACTAGCCCAGACTGAAGCGGGCGGACGCTCTAACCGCTACACCACGGAGGCGGTCTCACTTTCGGTGTATGTGGGTGATGAACACTGGTGACTGTGTGGTATGTGGTATTACATGTTTGAGTTGAAAGGTGGTGATGATAACTATGTAGTATGACATGTTTCAGGTGATGAACACTGATGACGTGTATGTGCTATGACATGTTTCAGGTGATGAACACTGATGACATGTATGCGGTATGACATGTTTCAGGTGATGAACACTGATGACATGTATGTGTTATGACATGTTTCAGGTGATGAACACTGATGACATGTATGTGGTATGACATGTTTCAGGTGATGAACACTGATGACATGTATGTGGTATGACCTGTTTCAGGTGATAAACACTGATGACATGTATGTGGTATGATATTTGTCAGGTGATGAACACTGATGACATGTATGTGTTATATGTTTCTGGTGATGAACAGTGATGACATGTATGTGGTATGACATGTTTCAGGTGATGAACACTGATGGCATGTATGTGGTATGACATGTTTCAGGTGATGAACACTGATGACGTATATGTTCCTGTCAATCCTGTCCCCGGCGCCATCGTAGTCAACATCGGTGACATGATGCAGCGATGGACTGCAGATAAGATTAGAGCCGCAGTGAGCACACTATAAACATCCGACCATGATCAGTGGTTTTACAATACACTGTACAAGGCCAGAAACGAGTAACCTCAGTTTTCTTTCGAAATAGGCTTGTGAACGTTAATTTTATATTTGTTTTTGGGTTGAGATTGTACATTCCAATTGTTAATGCCTCATAACTCTCGGTCTGAGACGCATTTCTATTCATGGATTCTACACACACACCATTCTGTCATGACAGGTCTCAGTGTTGCCTACAGACTTGTTGTTAGCTTGAACATGGACATAATCGCTCATCATATTCTCGTCAATTTAACAGTTATTTATGTTACCTTCAGTATGTCCCCTAACAACAGTTGTATTTAATCTCAACAGATATTATTCATTCTGATATTATTCGGCTTTTAACCTTTTTGAACACACTTTTAAGAATCTTTAACTAAACAAAAGCCTGCATCCATTCTGAGACTCCTTTTAGGGTCAAGCTGACCAAATAAGACGTATATGGATAAAGTAGACCAAGTAAGATAAAACATACCCTTTAGTTTGCAATCGACCTCGTTGACACTTTTTCTTGTTGCAATTACTTGTGGGAATTGCATCGGCTTGACTTCAGTTGGGAAATAAACGAAATTAAGCTTTAATAGATCAGCAACATTATGCCAAAACGAAGAGACAGGAATTGTCAAGAGACTGGGCGTAAATAGTAATGCATTTAAACGTTAAGCAGCGTGGCACTGAACGGTTCGGTAGCCGAGTCATTCCGAAAACCCGGGTTCGATTCCCTATATAGTTACAATGCGTGAAGCCTATGTCTGGTGTTCCCTACCGTGATATTGCTGGAATATTGCTAAAAGGGACATAAACCCACACTCACTTACTCACTGCATTACACTGCTGCTTTGGTACCACATTTGCAGATTTGCACTGACAAGGTTGAATAGTCCGTCTGGTTATCCGTGTCAACAGTATTTGAATGAGTTCTTGGTCACTACTCAACCAATATTGCTGCTTTTCAGAGTGAAAAGTGTCTGTGCCTATTTGTGTCAACAGTATTTGAATGGGTTCTTGGTCACGACTCAGCCAATATTGCTGCTTTTCAGAGAGTGAAGCCAGACACAGTGCTAACGTGTGCACAAAAGCAAATTAGTTTCATAGGTGTGTCAAGTATGTCATGAATGCTTCCTATTTTCAGAAACACCGAGTCCTGATTCCTGAATCGGAAGTGAAGAAACGTCAGTACCGACAGTCGCTTGCATTTTTTGTCAACCCTGATGATGACACCATCATTAAAAGTCTGGATGGTTCCGACAAATACGAATCCATCTCAAGCTTGGATTATCTGGAGCACAAGTTCCGTCAGATTTTTTAGTTTAAAAAAAGAAACTTAGCAAATATGTACATGGTGATTTCCTCTAAAGAACACTAGCCCTTGACTTTCCAAACTTTGTGTTATTTCAGTACAAAATTTGCTGAATGAAATGAATTGCCCCACTCCTTCTACACAGTCTTGTTCCTCGTTGAGGAAAAAACTGACATCATAATTTGAAAGCATTTCTGCTTAAATTGATCAATGACCCAATCTTGCAACATAAGGTTTTCCTGTGCAAACATAATTTTTAAGTTTAACACTCGATTCTCAGTATTTGCACTATTTTGTATTGAATTCATAATTGTTACGAGTCGATTTTCAATTTTTTCAATAAGCTGACAAAATATCTGTTCGTAATTTTGAGTGATACCAAAAATGTTGGTTGCTGTTTGGATGTTCATGTTCACTGAAAACAGAATTGTTTTCTTACATAGTTTGAACTAAACCAGTCCCCTGTGTTTATGTGTTTAAACCAAACCGGAAGTAGTGCCCATGTCGGTATTAAGGTTGCAGTATTTTTCAGCCATTTAATGGGACTATGTGTATAGGCGAAGCACTGGCCGCTATCATATTCTTTCAGTCCGAGGGTTCAGATATGCACAACGAACTAAATAAAGCGCCCCCTGTATGTTTGTTTGATAGGTTTTCAACACGCTCATAAAACGTCTCGTGGTGACCACGATGGAAAAACATGTTTGACATGTATGAACTTTTGACTCATAAACAACGACAAAATGATTGGAATCTGTGTTGAGTTCATGATTCCAATTGCTCTTTTTTTTAAAAAAAAACAACATTGATTTTTCATACATAACTATGTCTGAACAGGTATGGCCCTGGAATGTTTAAGGTTGAATTTTTTGGTAAGTGTGAACATTCAAAATGTCTTTTTGCATGTCTTACCCGATTCAAGATCAATACCGAGTCTAGCCGAGACTGTATGACAGCCAGCACTCTCCTCCTCATACCCTCTATCAGCCTCCTGATCCTCCGAAGGGGTAGTCCACGCCATTCCTCATGTAAAGCAGCTTCCAATTGGGCCAGGTTCTGTACAGGAGGATCCCCTTGTTGCACACGACGACCAGCCATGTCCCAAACATGCTCCAATGGGTTAAGACCGGGGCTCATTCAGTCGTGAGATACGTCAGTGGGTGCTTAACTACGTTCTTTGTGTATGTATTGTCGTCAGTACCGTGTTCCATAGACTTCGATAAACTGTATTCTGAAGACACAATCTCTTCGCTCATATACTAAAAGGTGCACAAACCCGGACTCTCGCTAACCTTAGTGAGAGAGAGCATGGTTTTACGACGCTTCTTTGTAGCAATATCACGGCTTGAGACACCAGAAATGGGTTTTACACGTTGGGGAATCGAACCCGGGTCTTCGGCGTGACGAGCGAACGTTGTATCCACTAGGCTACCCCCACCACACAAGCTATCCCTAGTGGGGTTTTGTGCTGACGTAGTTGGCGTAAAGAGACGCCTGTTAGGTCATAACTTTGAGGCATTATCGGTAGACATTTCTGAACACTGATTACCCGTCCTGGAACACATCTTGTTTGAAGTCGTTTTTGTCTTGGAAAAGCAGATTTACATTGTGCCAGAAAGTGTAGACATTTCTTATGGTTTACCTTGTCTTGAAACTACAGCTACTACATGAAATGGATATTATAATAAATATTGTGTAATCGCTTACCAGGTTTGTTGTATTTATGGCAATTGTACGTAGTTTTATGCTACATTCACTTCTCCCAGGACCTCCGTGTTATATATTCAACCTTCATTTTCCCACGTTTAAATTAAATGGATGAGTATAGAGTGGATGCTGGGGGTGAAATTTGGATGTGTATAGGCTGTTTCATGTGAGAAATGGATGAGTACAGATAGCGAGCTGGAGGTAAGAACTGGATGAGTGCAGGCTACTGTAGGTGAGAATTGGTGTGCGTCTTGGCTGCTGGAAGTGGGAAACTGGATGAGTATAGGCTGGTAGAGGTGAGAACTGGATGAGTATGTGCTGGTAAAGGTGTGATTTGGATGTGTATAGGCTGATAGACGTTAGAGTGGGATGAGGATAGGCTGCTGGGGTGAGATTGGGATGAGTGTAGGCTGGTAGAGGTAAGAGTGGGATGAGGATAGGCTGCTGGAGGTGAGACTTGGGTGAGTATAGGCTGCTGGAGGTGAGACTGGGATCAGTATAGGCTTCTGGGGGTGAGCCTGGGATGAGGATAGGCTGATAGAGGTGAGACTGGGATGAGAATAGGCTGATAGAGGTGAGACTGGGATGAGTATAGGCTTCTGGAGTTCAGACTGGGATGAGTATAGGCTTCTGGAGGTGAGACTGGGGTGAGAATAGGCTGCTGGAGGTGAGACTGGGATGAGTATAAGCTGATAGAGGTGAGTCTGGGATGAGGATAGGCTGATAGAGGTGAGACTTGGATGAGTATAGGCTGATAGAGGTGAGACTGGGATGAGTATAGGCTGATAGAGGTGAGACTGGGATGAGGATAGACCGATAGAAGTTAGAGTGGTATGAGGATAGGCTGCTGGAGGTGAGACTGGGTGAGAATAGGCTGCTGGAGGTGAGACTGGGATGAGTATAGGCTGCTGGAGGTGAGACTGGGATGAGTATAGGCTGAGAGAGGTGAGACTTGGATGAGTATACGCTGATAGAGGTGAGACTGGGATGAGTATAGGCTGCTGGAAGTGAGACTGGGTAGGTATAGGCTAATAGAGGTGAGACTGGGATGAGTATAGGCTGATAGAGGTGAGACTGGGATGAGTATAGGTTGATAGAGGTGAGACTGGGATGAATATTCACCTGATGAAGGAGCAAGAATTAGCTGTGAAACGTCGTAAAGAATAAAAAGTTGTTATCCATAGAAGTGTCATGTATTCACGGGATGAATATAGGCTGGTAGAGGTTAGAGTGGCAAGAATGTAGGCTTGTAGAGGTTAGAGTGGGATGAGTGTAGGCTGGTAGAGGTGAGAATGGGATGGATATAAACTGGTAAAGGTTAAAGTGGGATGAGTATAGGCTGGTAGAGGTGAGATCGGGATCAGTATAGGCTGCTGGAGGTGAGATTTGGATCGGTATAGGCTGTTGGGGGTAAGATTTGGATGAGTATAGGCTCTTGGGGTGAGATTGGGATGAGTATAGGCTGCTGGGGGTGAGATTGGGATGAGTGTAGGCTGGTAGAGGTTAGAGTGGGATGAGGATAGGTTGCTGGAGGTGAGACTGGGGTGAGTATAGGCTACTGGAGGTGAGGCTGGAATGAGTGTAGGCTGCTGAAGGTGAGACTGGGATGAGCATAGGCTGTTGGAGGTGAGACTGGGATGAACATAGGCTGAGAGAGGTGAGACTGGGATGAGTGTAGGCTGATAGAGGTGAGACTGGGATGAGGATAGGCTGATAGAGGTGAGACTGGGATGAGGATAGGCTGATAGAGGTGAGACTTGGATGAGTATAGGCTGATAGAGGTGAGACTGGGATGAGTGTAGGCTGATAGAGGTGAGACTGTGATGAAAATGCACCTGATGAAGGAGCAAGAATTAGCTGTGAAACGTCGTGTAAAGAATAAAAAGAAGTTGTTATCGATAAAAGTGTCATATATTCAAGGGATGAATATAGGCTGGTAGAGGTTAGAGTGGGATGAGTGTAGGCTTGTAGAGGTGAGAATGGGATGAATATAAACTGGTAGAGGTTAAAGTGGGATGAGGATAGGCTGCTGGAGGTGACACTGGGATGAGCATAGGCTGCTGGAGGTGAGACTTGGATTTGTATATGCTGCTGGAGGTGAGACTGGGATGGGATGAGGATAGAGCTGCTGGAGGTGAGACTGGGGGGGTCAGTATAGGCTGATAGAGGTGAGACTGGGATGAGTATAGGCTGCTGAAGGTGAGACTGGGATGAGCATAGGCTGTTGGAGGTGAGACTGGGATGTGGTACATAGGCTGAGAGAGGTGAGTGTAGGCTGATAGAGGTGAGACTGGGATGAGGATAGGCTGATAGAGGTGAGACTGGGATGAGTATAGGCTGATAGAGTTGAGACTGGGATGAGTATAGGCTGATAGAGGTGAGACTGGGATGAGTATAGGTTGATAGAGGTCAGACTGGATGAATATGCACCTGATGAAGGAGCAAGAATTAGCTGTGAAACGTCGTGTAAAGAATAAAAAGTTGTCATCGATAAAAGTGTCATGTATTCAAGGGATGAATATAGGCTGGTAGAGGTTAGAGTGGGATGAGTGTAGGCTTGTAGAGGTGAGAATGGGATGAGGATAGACTGCTGGAGGTTAGACTGGGATGAATAAAGGCTGGTAGAGGTTAGAGTGGGATGAGTGTAGGCTGGTAGATGTTAGAGTGGGATGAGTGTAGGCTGGTTGAGGTGAGAATGGGATGAGTATAGACTGCTGGAGGTTAGACTGGGATGAATATAGGCTGCTAGAGGTGAGACTGGGTTGAATATAGACTGGTAGAGGTGAGACTGGGATGAGTGTACGCTGGTAGAGGTTAGATTGGGATGAGTATAGGCTGCTGGGGATGAGATTTGGATGATTAAAGGCTGCTGGGGATGAGTTTGGGATGAGTGTAGGCTGGTAGAGGTTATAATAAGATGGGTAAAAGCTCGTAGGGGTGAGAATGGTGTTTGTTCGTACATCTGTTCTGTCACACCAGGGACATCTTCACCATCAGCTGAACTGCCAGGGACTTCATCGCTGTCGGCTGATAGAGTCTCAGAAGACAGAGCGTTCAGGAGATCATCTTCAGACTGCAACTTGGAGAGGACTCCTTGTGCAAGACAGTAAGATGTCAGACTAACCTTATCGTCAGATCCTAGAAGGGCAGCAAATGATGTTCTGTTGATGTCGCTATGATGACTGGAATTCTTCTGTAATTGCTCAAATTTCAGTCCCGTTGTCCAATTGACGGTGTTGTTGTCAGCTAGCCAGACAATGAGCCCGTCTTTCACAAATTTCCACAATTAAAGGAGATATTAGTTTCTAGATACGTGTCGATTTCGTATTGGTTGAAGACGCCCTGAACGAGGTCAAACGTCAATATTGTGAGTTTGTTGGAACCGTTTACCCTGTCTACTAATAACAGTAACACTGAACACAGTGGACTGCATGATAACTTTGCCAGTTTCAACATGGCGATAGCTCCAGGGCAAGTTTATACAGAAACAATTAATGAAATCATCCAAATCATGGCTGTATGATGAGAAGTATCAGTCAGAAATGATGGTCCAGAGATATTACTTTACCGTCCTTGACTGCCATATAGCTGGAATATTGCTGAGTGCGGCGTAAAACTAAAACTAAACAAATTACAGACCTTGAAGGAGGTAAAATCGCACACGACACCGCTTGTGTGAGATGCTGCTGCGTGCGGCATCTACAACTGGTGTTTTACAGACATGTTTGATGTCAACACTTACCAATTTTAAAACCTTGGTACTAACGTTTATATTTCATGAGCCCCAATTTTAAGGGTAACATGAATATATATTCAGACCAGCCCGCCTCCATAAAATAGGTCATCGCCCTGCTGTGTGGGCAACTGGGGGGTTGAGGGGTAGCCGTTTAACATCTCAGTGTCGATCGTCAGCAATGTCCTTACTTTCTTTTAAAAAGAAGCTAAAGATGGTTTCATGTTTCCCGTTCGAGGTTCTAGGCAGCAAGCAGCAACATTAATGACATTCTCTGCTCCCCTATTTAATGAAGTTAATTCGACCTGCCGTTTGTGTCATTTGACCTCCCGGGTCATGCATATGTAAAGTAGCTCAGTTCAAGCTGAACAAGCTGTAGTGGATAAAACGTTCGATTCCCCACATGGAAACAAAGTGTGAAGCCCATGCATGGTGTCTCCTGTCGTGATTTTGCTCCAATAAAAGCTGCGTAAAACCATACTCTCTCTGCACGAAGCTAATGACTGGCAGCGGGCACATTCAATGACTATGAACTGCAAAATAGCAACGGATATTTGTTGGTATCACACTAAATTACGAAGAGATTTTATTGTTTATTCATTTAATTTGGAAATAGACGCGCAACAATTATGAATAATGCAAATACCGAGAATCGAGTATTTAACATGTAGTTTGATTGCACAGGAAAACATTATGCTACAATATTGAGTCATTTAACAATTCAAGCAGAAATGCTTTCAAATAATGATGAACTTTTCTTTCAACATTGTACAGAATGAGCATGTGTGAGACAATCCGTTTTCAATCAGCAAGCTTTATACTGAAAGAACACAAAGTTTTAAAATGTCCTCATGGGTGAGTGTTCTTTAGAAACAATTATCATGTACATACATTCTATGTTTCAGTTGTTCATTTTTTGTATCAAAACATGACATGTTCAAAGCAAGGGTGATACGTTTAGGAATCTGGATGGGAAAATATTCAAATACCCTTCTCAGCTTGAAAGTTAAGGGACTCTGGTAAACTGATACATCTGAAAGAACACGTGCTTTAGATAATCCAGAGTGCAGATGGGTTCGTATTTGTCGGAACCATCCAGACTTTTGATGATGGTGTCATCATCAGGGTTGACAAAAAAACCAAACGACTGTCGGTACTGGCGTTTCTTCACTTCCGATTCAGGAACCAGGATTCGGTGTTTCTGAAAATAGGAAACATTCATGACATACTTGACACACCTATGAAACTAAATTGCTTTTGCGCA